CCCTTTGGTTCCTACCTCGGTGTTTTTGTATGAAACGTTTGTCACTTCGTTTTCCTTGTAAACTTTTGATTGTTGTAAGCCGTCTATAGTTTTATAATAAATGTTTGTCTCTCCAAACAGTTATATCTCGACATTTGTGTCTGTAGTTTCATCATCATCAACAAGCAACATAAACGTGATTAAATTCAATCACTTCGTCATAATTCACTCAAAACAACGCCATTTTATTATCTTTGAGTAAATAGATTCTACTTCCGGTCAATCAATATATCAACACGTTTCGTTATCTCTGGAATATTTTGGTCATACGTTGTAAATTTGATGGTCAGCAAGTGATTGAAACGGACTTGTCATGGGGAAAAATACATTTCAATCGATGATTAAGGTAAACACGTCGATTTAATTGCTAGGCCTAAGATGCATCACTCTGACGTAATTGTCTATTTTAATACATATTATATGACGTAATAATCCTTACCCCATAATCGTCACACGTGCACGGTATTTACACACCAAGAAAGCATCATAAAAACGGCAATATTCCAACATCATATTGATTATCTTTAGCATTAGGAGCGACTGATTTACATAATTTACTCCACAATTAGGCAAAATCCTACAGAGAAGCGTCGAGATTTAGTAAACAATGTTGTGTATGGGCGTTGGAAGATAGTGAGTGACTCAGTGACGTTGACTACAATCTGAATCGACGCAATAAATACATCCTTATGTGATGGGCTAGGGATTTATAAGTCTTATTATAGATCAAAGGCGGACCAACTAATCCGGAATCTAAATTAGAAACCAACCCATGTCCAGAATAGTCTTTTTTAACTACCGATTTCCAGATATAAGAACAAACGTGTTTGGAAAATACAGTGAGATGTTGTTGTGATTAAGTTATCTACCTTGACAGACACGTTTTTACTAAAATAAAGAACGTGAGCTGAAACGTGAAATCTGATATGAGAGGTCTTGAGAATCCCAAACAGAGAGAAAGCTGACAATTACCTACTACCATTGTAGGTAATGTTTCAATGCTTTATTCTTCTTCTGATACGCCATTGAAACAAAATCTGATTGGTGCATATTAAATACGGAATCTCCATATATGGAAATCACTGAATTAATACAGTCATTAGTATTGGAAATCGAATAAATGCACTTTGATCATTTCTATTTCTAATATCAGCGACGTGGCAGGAAAGTTATTAAGTTTAATCATGTTCAATTAAGAACTTTGTGTTTGGTGAGACAAAAACGTTAAAATCGTCCTTCATTACACACCTAAGGCTGAATTAAGCCCAATTCCATGTCCAATAATCACATAGTCGAATGTCATGCAAATAATCACCATTTTCATAAAGAGTGGCACAGTGTCAGCTCTGATTCCATGTGTAGATAATTATTGTTACATATCGATCTGACAGGCAACTTAATTAAAACAGTAATGTGTATTCCGTTAGTGTTTGCTGAATCGGTCTTTTAAGCCCGGTATCTCGAAAGTGTGACGATTACTCAGTATGTAAATGACATATTACATCACGGGATGATAGCCCGACCCGCGGATACAGAGAGGGTAGTCACTGGATGACAGCCCGACCCGGGGACACAGAGAGGGGAGTCACGGGACGAAATCCGGACCTGGGGATACAGAGAGGGTAGTCAAGGATGACAGCCCGACCCGGGGATATAGAGAAGATAGTCACGGGATGACAGCCCGACCCGGGGGTATAGAGAGGGGAATCACGAGACGTCATCCCGACCCGGGAATAGAGAGAGGGGAGTCACGGGATGAGAGCCCGACCCGTGGATATAGAGAGGGGAATCACGGGATGACATTCCGACCCGGGGATATAGAGAAGATAGTCACGGGATGACAGCCCGACCCGGGGGTATAGAGAGGGGAATCACGAGACGTCATCCCGACCCGGGAATAGAGAGAGGGGAGTCACGGGATGAGAGCCCGACCCGTGGATATAGAGAGGGGAATCACGGGATGACATTCCGACCCGGGGATATAGAGAAGATAGTCACGGGATGACAGCCCGACCCGGGGGTATAGAGAGGGGAATCACGAGACGTCATCCCGACCCGGGAATAGAGAGAGGGGAGTCACGGGATGAGAGCCCGACCCGTGGATATAGAGAGGGGAATCACGGGATGACATTCCGACCCGGGGATATAGAGAAGATAGTCACGGGATGACAGCCCGACCCGGGGGTATAGAGAGGGGAATCACGAGACGTCATCCCGACCCGGGAATAGAGAGAGGGGAGTCACGGGATGAGAGCCCGACCCGTGGATATAGAGAGGGGAATCACGGGATGACATTCCGACCCGGGGATACAGAGAGGGTAAGATCCGGAATATGGAGAGGGTATTATATGGACAACACCCGATCCTGGAATAGGGTAAAGAAAGTTACGGGACGTCATCCTGGCCAAAAAAGGGAATAGGGTAAGGGAAGTTACGACACTCTAGGGATTCTGGCATATCCCGACCCTGTGCTAAGATTAAGGGATATCATGGAGAATGGATTGGATATCTCCAAATTTACAAAATCTGGCGAATAAATGTAAATCAACAGTTTGTTCTTTCCAATGGTCATCATCTTGGTAGCCTTATTCCCCACCCAAATAAGATATAAATCAAGTATACTATTTTGTTATTGCTTGAGGCATTTGACCGTCTTTATCACTAGTCCTCCACCTCTGGGTCGCGGGTTCGAGACCTACATGGGGCAGTCGTTAGGAACTGGCCGCAGGTCGTTGGTTTTTCTCCGGGAACTCCGGCATTCCTCCAACACACAAACCTGGCATATCCTTAAATTACCTTAGCTGTTTATCAATGATAAAGATCGCTTCATCTTCGTCATATCAATACTGATACGTTTTAAACCAATTTCTCAAAGCGAGTACACTTTAAAAATATTTAAACGTCGAAAAGGAATCTGCTTCTTATTCCTATGATCGAGAGAGCACTGATTGAAATTGTGACGTTAACTTTTTGATATACAACTCTCTCCGAACACATATGAAATTCAAATTGACATGCAGTTGCTCAACCTTACAGATATATGCGAGATCAGAACAATATACAAAATTGTGTATATCATATACTTGTGTAGAGGTTTACACAGCGGAAGCTGATCGAATGTGACAGATATGACACAGTTTTGTTCTCCGAACCTTAAATATGTCCGAATGCATCACTTCAGCTTGGAATGGTGATCAGTATGCAGAGATTTGACCTACATTTCTGTATTTTTTTTTCTGACAGAAATTATTCAAATACCGGCAAGATAAAGGAACTAGTAATGTAAAACCTCTCTTTATCTACCAACAAAATTATATATCAACTACAAACATCCTTGGTTCACGTATTTCTTCTTTAAAGCAGTTTACTTTCACCCTGCTTTATTATCGTGTAATTAAAACACGTGATTTTTCTCTCGTTATTTGTACGGAATCTGTATGTTTTGCGCGCTAGTTAATCAGTTCACATGTACTCAACAAAGTAGGGGTTACATATGCTCCGCTTGTAATTACAAACTAATAAGTCATTTATCTCATAGATTGCCGAGATAATGTTCAAAGTGCGTGTATCATTATCACGTCTTTGATGCCTTAATTACATAACAATTTGATAAGTGTCTAAATCACTATAATTTTTGTTGACTAAAAGTTCAATATTCACGAAAAAAATCCATTAGTGTCATAAAATAAGACAATATCGGTTCTTTGTTAACGTACTTTTCTCTGAACAGGAAACGTACTAAGCTAAGCAAATCTCCTGAAAAAAAAACCTAACAAACATGTATTCCATGTGAAACGTGATTAAAAACTAGTACAAAAATTAAGAAAAAAATTATAAGTCGACTTCATACAATTGGTTCTTTGTGTATTCTGATACAGGTGTACTTTTCGGATTATGATATAGGTAGTGTGATGTGAATTGTGATACAGACGGCGCTATGTGGATTATGGTTTTGTGTGGATTGTGATATTGATGGTGTTGATGGATTTTGACATAGTTGATGCTATGTGGATTGTGATTTGCGTGGATTGTGATATTGATGGTGTTCATGGATTTTGATATAGTCGTCACTATGTGGATTGTGGTTTGCGTGGATTGTGATATTGATGGTGTTGATGGATTTTGATATAGTTGATGCTATGTGGATTGTGGTGTTCCGTGGATTGTGATATTGGTGGTGTTGATGGATTTTGATATCGTTGATGCTGTGTAGATTGTGATGTATGGATTTCGATATATGGATGCAACCACAGCTTTGTGAATTGTAGATATTGAGTTTCTGTTTGGATTGTGATAAACTGTGACAAATGCGATACTGTGTTGATTATGATATACCGGGTAGGTGGTGCTGTGTGGGATGTGTCATAGGTTTTATGGATTGTTATACACGCTGTGCTTTGTGTGTTTTTGACTGGTATAATGGTGCGCTGTGTGGATTATGATATATGTTTGGATTATGATATATCTGGTGTTTTAGTGTTTACGAGGTTGTACTCCCTAGGTTGTAATATGGTACACTTTATGTGTCTATTGGTGACTCATGTATGGTAGTGCTGTGTGTGCCTGTTTACTATTTGATAAAATGTGAAATGAATTTTCTGACGTAAATTGTTTTGAGGATCAGAAAATCCCCTGGAAATCGAGTTATATAGGTACCAATATTAAAATATCGTTGAAAAACTTAAACCGGAAGTGAAATTGTCTTCTCGAGGATAAGCATTTCCGGTTCTGTGTGTCAACTCGTGTGATATATTATTCATCCAAAGAAGAAAACAAAAGCTTATATTAAAAATTTCCTAACGTAAAGAAATGCCGTCAAAGGTTTTTTTTAAGAATTGAAGAATTCTCTATCAGTTACAATGCATCTACAAATGACAAATATGACGTCCACTCTAGTCCTCTACATCACTACACCGTACGAAGGGCAGTAACTCGTACACATTTGTTGAAACCGGAAGTATATGTTTTTTTGTATTCCGTATACAAACACACGTGGATGGTTGGACTGATCTTCGCCTTGGTGTATCTCCATGTGTGCTTCCCTGCAGCTCTCGGAATGACAGGAGAGGGCTATTCTCCGGCCCGACAAATACGGAACCCCATGCTGAGAGCTGTGTACAATAGACTCCAGGAAGACCAGAGACATCAGAAAGACAGACACGATTACGTTAGTTGCGTTTCTGTAATTCATCATTTATAATTAATTACTATCAACGTAATGATTAGAATCGACTAAAGAGCTTATACAGAACAGTTAGATCTTAATCCTACGCGACATGCTACGTACATGGTTTTTCATTTGTGCTTGTCCAATGTTGTAAGGGAAGTAACTCAAAGAAGTATACGGATTACTAAAGAGTGGTACACCCTTAGAAATATGATGGCTTTCATAGGCGTTATGCAGAATTCACATAGTAAATGGTCTCTTTAAACTGATATAAAGATATACTGTATGTCAATAGAAGATCTCCAAAAACCTTTATTTAATAAGTTTGTAAAAACAGCTGATCGTGTCTCAGGATTTTATTAGATTCAATATATTGTGTTGTTATCCTCATTTGGAATATACTAAACAGGACCCACTGAATTTTTCTCTTTAGATTATAAGTGTTATCCTTTGGTGGTCTCTTTAGGCAGGTTATATATACCATATAATAATCAATGTGTGGTCTCCCTAAGATTATGAAATCGAACCAATGGATAGTCTTGTTTGATATGTTAAGTATATACTGAACACCTAATGGATGATCTCTTTCGACAAGTTATTTAGCATATTCATTGGTTGGTCTCTTTAGACGGGTTCTTTTGTATACTCATTTTTATATCTTTAGCCAGGTTATTTTGTATGCTCATTTTTAGGTCTCTTTAGACAGGTTATTTTGTTATTCATTTATTGGTCTCTTTAGACAGGTTATTTTCTATACTGATTTTTGTCATCGCTTTAGACAGGTTATTTTTTATGCGTATTGTTTGGTCTCTTCAGACAGATATCTGAACTGAATTATCACTTAACCTTTGATTAAATTGTATAAATCATCAGGTTTATTTAGCTCCCTATTTCTGTCGTGTCATTTTTTTGTTAAAAGTCAGTTTGGAATGTCTGAACTCCCTTGTGAATTTCCATACTTCGGACTTCCATGGTCATTGCTGACTCCTGTACAAACAAAACCGAACTACATGATGCAGTTTACTTAATAGGTTACATTATACTGTGATGTATATATTACTGTATAATGTCATATTGTTGTAGCTGACAGTTTACCTACATAGGTTATTGGTGTTGATGATACACTGATGATGCCTGAGAATTACCACCATGCTTGTAGAATTTAAGCAAAAAAAATTCAAAAAGTTAAACCGTTTAAAAGCAGTTATTATTATTTTTTTTATTATTCTGCCGGTGATGGAACATGAGATCTCTGGCTTTTTGGTTCTCTGGCTCATTGGAGTACCCATGTTTGTTTAAAGCACTTTAACAGCATGCATTTTACATATAGTTTTAAGTTCATCATTTGTGTAACTATGTAGCTTTGTCTTAACGATCAACCTGACCCTTTTCCAGTGGTATTCCATCAACACTACAATACTACCGGAAGGTTTGTGTAATAAAGTCATACAGTTTAACCAGGATGAACAGACAGACCAGTTTCTGGACACCTGTTATGAGAAGGCTGATTGGATATTTACTCAGATAGGCCACTCCCTCTCCAAGTCCCTGCTCAGCTGGTTCATGACTGGAACGTCCGTTAATGGGTAGGTTACTGAGTTTTGTTGCTCCCTTGCCAATAGTATGGAGCTTTTGAAGTAAACTTTAAGAGATTTTTTTTTTTCGTTATCAATTAATTTACAAACAGAAATAAGGATTTTAAAATGGCTACCAGTGTTATTTAAATTATACACAGATTATTCCATGTTTAAAAATTATATGGTTGACAATGTTTAAAACTTTAATTTTTTTTTGTTATTGACAGGTTGTTACATCGAGGCTCTATGTTTGTCTTCTCTGATTCTCAGCTTCAGCAACTCCTACAGATTGATGATTCCTACAGGGGCCAGAGTATGATAGACCTAGGTAAGTAGCTCCGACAAGGGTCAGTGTATCATAGACCTAGGTAAACAGTTCCTACAGGTGACAGTGTATAACAGACCTAGGAAAACAGTTCCTACAGGGGCCAGAGCATGATAGACCTAGGTAAGTAGCTCCGACAGGGTTCAGTGTATCATAGACCTAGGTAAACAGTTCCTACAGGTGACAGTGTATAACAGACCTAGGAAAACAGGTCCTACAGGTGTCAGTGTATGATAGACCTAGCTAAACAGTTCCTACAGGTGTCAGTGTATGACAGACCTAGGTAAACAGTTCCTACAGGTATCAGTGTATGACAGACCTAGGTAAACAGTTCATACAGATGTCAGTGTATGACAGACCTAGGTAAACAGTTCCTACAGGTATCAGTGTATGACAGACCTAGGTAAACAGTTCCTACAGGTATCAGTGTATGACAGACCTAGGTAAACAGTTCATACAGATGTCAGTGTATGATAGACCTATATAAACAGTTCCTACAGGTGTCAGTGTATCATAGACCTAGGTAAACAGATCCTACAGGTGTCAGTGTATGATAGACCTAGGTAAACAGTTCCAAAAGGGTCAGTGTATGAAAGACCTATATAAACAGTTCCTACAGGTGTCAGTGTATGACAGACCTAGGTAAACAGTTTCTACAGGTGTCAGTGTATGACAGACCTAGGTAAACAGTTCCTACAGGTATCAGTGTATGACAGACCTAGGTAAACAGTTTCTACAGGTGTCAGTGTATGACAGACCTAGGTAAACAGTTCCTACAGGTATCAGTGTATGACAGACCTAGGTAAACAGTTCATACAGATGTCAGTGTATGACAGACCTATAGAAACAGTTCCTACAGGTGTCAGTGTATGACAGACCTAGGTAAACAGTTCCTACAGGTGTCAGTGTATGATAGACCTAGGTAAACAGTTCCAAAAGGGTCAGTGTATGAAAGACCTATATAAACAGTTCCTACAGGTGTCAGTGTATGACAGACCTAGGTAAACACTTCCTACAGGTGTCAGTGTATGATAGACCTATATAAACAGTTCCTACAGGTGTCAGTGTATGACAGACCTAGGTAAACAGTTTCTACAGATGTCAGTGTATGACAGACCTAGGTAAACAGTTCCTACAGGTGTCAGTGTATGACAGACCTAGGTAAACAGTTCATACAGATGTCAGTGTATGACAGACCTAGGTAAACAGTTCCTACAGGTGTCAGTGTATGATAGACCTATATAAACAGTTCCTACAGGTGTCAGTGTATCATAGACCTAGATAAACAGTTCCTACAGGTGTCAGTGTATCATAAACCTAGGTAAACAGTTCCTACAGGTGTCAGTGTATGATAGACCTAGGTAAACAGTTCCTACAGGTGTCAGTGTATGATAGACCTAGGTAAACAGGTGTCAGTGTATGATAGACCTAGGTAAACAGTTCCTACAGGTGTCAGTGTATGATAGACCTATATAAACAGTTCCTACAGGTGTCAGTGTATGACAGACCTAGGTAAACAGTTCCTACATATGTCAGTGTATGACAGACCTAGGTAAACAGGTCATACAGGTGTCAGTGTATGATAGACCTCGGTAAACAGTTCCTACAGGTGTCAGTGTATGACAGACCTAGGTTAACAGTTCCTACAGGTGTCAGTGTATGATAGACCTGGTAAAGGTAACAGTTCCTACAGGTGTCAGTTCCTACAGGTGTCAGTGTATGATAGACCTAGGTAAACAGGTGTCAGTGTATGATAGACCTAAGTAAACAGTTCCTACAGGTGTCAGTGTATGACAGACCTAGGTAAACAGTTCCTACAGGTGTCAGTGTATGACAGACCTAGGTTAACAGTTCCTACAGGTGTCAGTGTATGACAGACCTAGGTAAACAGTTCCTACAGGTGTCAGTGTATGACAGACCTAGGTAAACAGTTCCTACAGGTGTCAGTGTATGACAGACCTAGGTAAACAGTTCCTACAGGTGTCAGTGTATGATAGACCTAGGTAAACAGTTCCTACAGGTGTCAGTGTATGACAGACCTAGGTAAACAGTTCCTACAGGTGTCAGTGTATGAGAGACCTATATAAACAGTTCCTACAGGTGTCAGTGTATGACAGACCTAGGTAAACAGTTCCTACAGGTGTCAGTGTATGACAGACCTATATAAACAATTCCTACAGGGGTCAGTGTATGACAGACCTAGGTAAACAGTTCCTACAGGTGTCAGTGTATGACAGACCTAGGTTAACAGTTCCTACAGGTGTCAGTGTATGATAGACCTAGGTAAACAGTTCCTACAGGTGTCAGTGTATGACAGACCTAGGTAAACAGTTCCTACAGGTGTCAGTGTATGATAGACCTAGGTAAACAGTTCATACAGATGTCAGTGTATGACAGACCTAGGTAAACAGTTCCTACAGGTGTCAGTGTATGACAGACCTAGGTAAACAGTTCCTACAGGTGTCAGTGTATGACAGACCTAGGTAAACAGTTCCTACAGGTGTCAGTGTATGACAGACCTAGGTAAACAGTTCCTACAGGTGTCAGTGTATGACAGATGTAGGTAAACAGTTCCTACAGGTGTCAGTGTATGATAGACTTTTCTAAGAAACTTTTACTGAGGTCAGTGTATAGACCAATGCAATCAGTTACAGTTCAGTCTTTCAAGGGTTAGATCTTGATGAGTTTTGATATACCAGAGATTTAATGTTGTATAATTATTCTTTTGAAATATAATTTTAGTTTGTTAAAAAGCATCATTTCAATAGAAGCTAATAGAAATATCAAAGATATGTGATGAAAGAGAAGTTCAGACAGAAGGTTTCAGACAAAAACAGTTTTATTAATTTTAAGATTGTTAACACCATTTTTCCAAAATATTTTCAAGTATCACAATATTGCTTCTTTTGACAGGGGCAGGGGATGGTATGGTGACAGAAAAAATGGCCAAATATTTTGATACTGTATATACAACAGAAGTTTCATTTGCTATGAGATGGCGCCTTCAGGGCAAAGGTTACAGGTAAATATACAGGTGCTATATGGTCAGTTATAACCAGCAGTATGTATTTGTATGAGTTAAGATCAATATACACCTGTCAAAGTCGAAATAGAGTACTTAAGCTGGCATTTTTTTATGCAGACTTGGTCATTATTTACAATGAACATTGAAGTGATTAGACTTGTGTTTTTTGAAAACAATATATATAGAGGATCTTACATGAGTGCCACTCTCGTTCAATAAATTCCATAATACATTGACACGAGTGTAAGATTCTATTTATGACATAACCAACTAAAATGGAAAAATCGCCAGAAAACTACGATTTACTTCCACTATGCAATCAGCTGTTTCTATATAGGTCAAAACCAACGCACAGCAATCATAGTTTTATCCATCCGTGTTGCAAATAGTACCTATTTTCAATGATTGAATAAGAAATTGTTATGTTCTAAAATGATATCGACAAAGTAAAGCATTTTAATTCTATTTAATGCATTTAATGCAAAATAACTTTGAAAAATCACAAAAAAAAAACAAAAAAAATCTTCTGGAAATTCACTTGATATTGGTAACGTGAGGTCACCTCGCCTCGTCATCAATGGTCATCAGGTTCGGTCTAACTGCTCCAGTTACTGCGACATGGGAAAACGAGTCAATTATGTGATAAAAAGTTTTGCTCAACGTATTCTTGTTTGATTGATACTGTATAAGATTCCCCACCTCATCTTCTCTGACTGAAACGAAACGACTTGGTTCAGGGGCAACAGGACCGCCATCCGGAGCGATCGTCTGCTGTTGGGAGGGATCTACCACCTTTTCAATACGATCGTGCTCAAGCTCAATTTGAAAGTCAATCCCACAAAATTCAACATTATAAAATATAGCAAATCCCTGTGGGATTATCTCCTTCACCACATCAGTCCCCTTCTTATCAATAAAAACTGTGTCGCCAATGTTGATCTGGTCAGACATATTTTACTACAGTTTGTTGTCGTAGTAAATAAAAGTAGTACGTTCCCACGGTTTTGACCAATCAGCATGTGTATTACCATTATTATGACATGGGAAAACGGGTCGGTTATGTGATAAATCATTTTATAGCACACCTGGCTGGAAGGGGAGAGGATTTTGACCAAATATGGTTAGAAGAATATTTAAGGGGAAGGAAACATTTTTTGTATAAATTGTGTATAAATTGAGATTCCCACCCCTAAAATATATGGCAATGCTGTCTCATATAAAGCTACATTTACCTGTACAACAGAAAATGATGAGCTGTCATTCTATCAGAATTACTTACCTTGCAATGTCAAAATCAACATGATTGGTAAACCATATGTCTGTCATTCTATCAGAATTACTTACCTTGCACTGCCTAAACAACATGATTGGTAAACCATCTGTCTGTCATTCTATCAGAATTACTTACCTTGCACTAAACAACATGATTGGTAAACCATCTGTCTGTCATTCTATCAGAATTACTTACCTTACACTGCCTAAACAACATGATTGGGAAACTTCATGTCTGAAGGAGATACAATGATAATTACAGTATGTAGATTATGTAGGGGACACACAGTACTACAATTAAAGCCTTATTACCTCTGTTTCAGGTTACTTGATATTGACGAATGGGGTGATGGCAGTAGGAAATATGATTTGATTGGTTGCCTCAATTTATTAGACCGATGTGACAAGCCAATCACAATCCTCCATACCATCAAGAAGTCCCTGACCCCGTCTGGGCAAGCCATTGTAGCAGTGGTGCTTCCCTTCCGTCCATATGTAGAACAAGGTAAGTGTTCCAGTACATCACCTTGATCTTTTCACAAATAAAATCTTTAACACCACGGAGTCGAGCCTCTAGACTTCCAAGAACATCTTGATGTATTACCAAAATGATCCAGAAACACACACAATCTCTTGACACAAAATTGCCATGTTGGCGACATTGATAGCACTGAAATAACATGGGACAACATCTATGCAGAGTAAACAAGATATGTTTACTACTTAGCATAGACCTGTTAGTGGAAAAAGGTGAGTTAATGTCTAAACTTTCTATGCTTATTCTACCTTTGTCTCTCATCAACAGGTTCCGCTGACCACAGACCTACAGAAAACATAAGGATAGAAGGAAAGACATTTGAAGAACAGTGTAAAAATTTCATAGAGAGTGTATTTGAGCCAGCAGGCTTTGTGGTGGAGAAGTTCACCAAACTGCCATACTTATGTGAAGGAGACATGCACCAGTCCTTTTACATGCTGCAAGATGCTGTCTTTGTTCTGAAACTTAAAGAGGATGGATGATTCTTCATAAGAATGTGTTAATGTATATCACCATTTTTTCATGGAAGGGGCCATGCATTCATAGTTCACTTTTTAAAGACATGAATAGTTGTTAAACATGTATTATGTCTGAATAATTTATTTCTTTAGTGTATATGTATATAATTTTCCTTTTTGTTGACAAAAAAGAGGGTGTGCTTGAGTACACGAAAAAAAAAATCATTTTATTGTGATTGACAAAGGTACTTATGTATATGTACAGCTGCTGATGTAATGGACTCTCTTAACAGATAACGGTAGTCTCCTGCACATGCTGTTATGAGTGAAGGACCAATGTGTAACATCATTGTATCTCTAACTGGGAAGGACCAATGTGTAACATCATCATATCTCTAACTGGGCTTGAACTTCATTCATTTTAAAATGGCTTTAAAATTTGAAGTATGGTCCTAATGCCAATCTTTGTCAACCTTTGAGTTTTTTGTGATGGAATTTCAGTAGAATAGAGGTTGGAATTTTGTATTTAGCAAATTAATATATGTGGAATATAAAAATTTGTTTGTTTTGTTGTTGTGGTATCCAAAAACTGAAACAGGCTGTTCCATGGTGGTAGTTATTAAGCTGGAAAACTGAATGTTTTCATTATTCTTGTGTCTGAAAATTTTGTAGTGGATAACAAATGAAACTGTATTGTTACGAAAAAAATTGTAAAAGGGTCAAATTTCTATTTTATTTAGGTTATCAGGTGATAATTACAATTGAACTCTGATAAATTCTACATTACTGATTTTGTTGTCAATAATTCAATTTACTCGAGTTTGATTGTAGTTATCCCAAGATAACATAAACAAATGATAAAGTAGCTTAATCCTTAGATATTGAAGAGATGACAAGGTAGAACAGTGTATAAATCAAAACAAAACTGGGTAGAAAAATTAGCCAGGGACAATGTTTCAAACACACAAGATCTTTTGAAAGGGGCAATACTTCTGACACCACCATATACTTCTGGCACTGCCATTGTGGAAATATGCCTGCCACATATATTTTTGCTGTATTCGGCTGTGACAGAAAACAGCTATATTTTTAGCACATGAATTAATTCTACAGAATTACTTTCTGATATACTTAAATATTTCGTGTAAAAATATAAATAATAAGCTATCTTTTTTACTGTAACAAACAAGTTTATTTGCGAAAATTCATACAAATTGCTTTTTATATCCATTGAAGTGTGAAACTATACTTGTTATTAATTATTCTGATACACATCATCAGGCACAATTAAATGTCAAGGTCAGATAAACAAAGATTGAATAGCCCTAACTAACTGTTGAAGTTGCAGTATGCTTTATATAAATAAGTCCTGAAAGAGAAATAGAATACATGGTCACACATTTTGGCTTGGGACTGAAAGACAAAAGTGACTTGCCACTTTCGTCCGTCTTTATCCTTGCCCAAATGCAGCTTATATTTGAAGACACTGACCATGTATTCAATATATATTTGTGTAACGAGCTTTATAAAAATCTGTGTACAAAGCAAGATAAGGTGACTAAGTGCAGTTTGTCATAGTGACTGCAAGTTTATGACTTATGGAATGAAGTTTAATATTAAGTCATTGTCAAGATGGGAGTCAATCAGGCATGTAGTGAAGAAAGAAATAGAATGTCTTGCCTTCACAAACATGCTGTTATCAAGGTTTTATAGTTTGTGTCTGAAAACTCATTGCAGTGTGAATTCTTTCCTCCATCAGTGTGAACTACATAATTTTCAAATTCTCTCATTTCATAAAAGGGTCAGTTTCCAGTATCAATGACAAATGTAAGAAAAAATTTTGCTTTCCACAAGTTTACAGATTATATTCATTTAAATATGATACCTCTGGTTGTCTCCCATCATTCTGAGTATAAACAAGATTAAGTTTGACTGATCGAGGAAATTACGTAAATTAATATATTCAAATCCTTTTTGTTTTCAACTAGCCTAATGCCATCGTGTGACATGTTGGTAGCTTTTTCTTTTACACAAAATTTCAGTAGGCAGAGACAAGAAATTATAGAAAACTTTTTTCAGTACCCTTAAAGAAATAATGCCGATATGACTCGATATAAGAGCTTCTGCCTGTAAAATTGGGATCTCGGTTTCAAATTATTTAAAATATGCATAATGCAAATAGAAATCACAAGAAACAAACGTGAAAAATTTGAATGATTCCTCGAATAACTTCTCAGAAATACCATGAACAACTCTTAAATCTCAAAATTCCAGATGACCACTTTTGGAATCTGATCAAGGCAATATGTAATATGCAGATGTAGTTACTAAGTTGATATGCTGATTTAAAGAGTTTTTTCAAAGATCTCTTTGGTTCTTTCTGGGAAATAATACAAATAACACCTGTTAAAAGTTTGATGACACGGGAGGTGATTTTAACAGCCAACTATTTGCTGACGGTGAACTAAGAACCAAAATAGCAGTGGTAACTTAACGTAATTTATATCAACTTATAACCAGACTCTGTTATCATAGCTGTATCAGCTAGACACTTTATTGCTAAATAACAGAAACACGTCGCAATAACAAATATATACTACATCATAAAAGAGGAACATTTTTCAGAACAACTGTGTTGCTTTGGTATCTATGAACGAGACATTCCTAACTAGGTTATACTTTAAAAGTTGTTTTCCATAGTACAAACTTTTTGGGTTTCACTACAAGACTAATGTAAAGGGCTGTATTTTTCATATTTATCATGAAATGGTCTGTTGCCTTTTTTATCAATTTCATTTTATTTGATTTCATGTGATTCTTTTGCATTTTAATCAACACCTGGATATACATTGTATTTTCGTAAGAAAAATTATCACCAAGGCCACATACCGATCAGGTCTAAAAGATCTTTACAGTGTATAAAAGTGAAGTTCATACACCTTATGAACAACTTCTGGTGAGTTGTAGACAAACATGAAATGTTATTGGCATTTGTATTCCTTAACTCTAAATATTTATCCAGTTAGCTGCCAATAACAAACAATTATTCAACAAAAAAGCCAAAACAGCATAATCTCTTGATCAACCTTAATAACAAAAGGACGAAACAATAACTAGAATTGCATTCAATACAAACATCCACATGTCATGATTTTCAATGTGGATTTAAAGCATGGCATTAAAACATTTAATGGAAATCGGAAAACTATTTCCAAGTATGCAATAATAGTTAATTCATTCAAAATCAACAAAACTTTTTCCAGCACTCAAATTATGACCACATAATCTTCAGATTAACCCTAACAAAAAGATAACTCTTTAATGAAAAATTGCTTTCAAAATGTCATGATTTTCTATGTGGATTTAGTGCAAGTCATTATGACTTGAGTACCACAACATACCCTATATATCCATACATAAAGTGACACATCAGGATTCCTTCCTAAGCAATTTTGTAACAAATGAAGTTGAACCATTTGAGAATACTTCATACCCCTTAATCCCAGTATTCATTATCTAAACATCTAGAAGATTTTTCTTTTTAGACATTGACCCTTGTAAACTTCAACTAAAGGCTTTTTTTTAACTCAAAACAACCTTGACAACTCATCACCTAAGCATGTTAATTGTCAAACATGTTACAGATGCTGCACAACTACTCAGAATCTACTGGCTTGGAATTCCTGGCTGGCAAGTTAAAAAAATCTGTACTTTTCTTAAGGAGTCCTTATTAAAATCTCTGGACAAAATAAGGCATCTTCTTTTAAAAATGCTAAACTCATGAAAAAAACCTATTTATGAAGTACAAAAGGAAAGGTTTTCTGACTGCTTAAGACAGGAAAACATGTTTGTCACATTGGTGAATGATTTAGTCGCTTGATACTGATCTGGACTTCCCTAAAGCTCTGTCACTTAATCATGTGACTGGTAAATTGAAGTACACATGAAATTCTTCCTCAAAGCACTTCTAAAGAGCAAACTTTTTCAAATAAATGTTGATCATAATGGTAACAGGACAGTTCCTACATAGACTAATAATGCTTGTTCATACTCTCAGGCTCAATATCTCTGATAAGTGTTAGCTGTAATGTTTTCCATGCATCCAATGTTCTTATTCCAGGCCTCATATTCATTCAAAATGCTGAATATTTCTTACACAACCAGTAACAGGATGTACCTTATTAACAGAATAACTTTGTAACAACCACTGAGAATGAGGTAGCTTTATCCAGTCCTCAGAGCCAGTAAACATATAATATGTAGTCACCAACGCTTAGAGGATTGCTTGTTTCAGTTCTGTTTTTGTCCAATAGTTCAAAGGTCGTATCACTGATGAGATCTTGTTCCCGTTCTCGTCAAATGCAATAATAAAGAACCACTGCTTTTGTTGGCTAATTCTCATTCCCATGCAAGTATTCCCTGAATTGGTTTATCAAGCTTTCTCCGTAGGCAATTTCTGTAAAACAAAGATGTATCCAAATGTGATGGAAAAAAAATTTCTATATGCGATAGAGCTGATATAACAATATAATTGTAACATTTTGGAAATTTACTGATGGCACAAACATGTGGTATGGTTTTACATCCTTCAAACAAGCTAAAACAACAAAAAATATTATCATTTTCTTTGGATAGGAGATGCAAGTAGCTTTCAATACTAACACACTTCTTTCCCACAATGTCATTTTTATGATATGTTAAGCCCAGTAAAGATCAATATGTTTGCTACCTTATCAGTGAATGCAAATGAGAAAATCTCTAAATGGTATGTCATTTTAGTACATATTGACTGTTGTTTCAACCACCAATTAAATCCTGTTCAAATGAACCAAAACTATCTACTGTTCCCATGTTTGAGGAAAACTTCTCAAGCTCCAATCATGGTACCAAATACCAGGTAGGATGGGACAATGATTAGACACAGTCTATTAACTAATTGTTTACCCTCATCTGATCTGATGATTGTAATTTTTCACAATCAATCATCACTACCTTAATGTTTTCATGTGCTTTAGCAATAACAAAGTTCATATTATGAATAAGAAAGATGTCCGATGCCAACAATATTCATTCTTATGCAAATTCTTTGTAAATGAATTATTTCAGGATAAAAATTTAAATTTAAAGTAATATTTGAAGAAAACACACTCTGAATATTTCAGATACGATCCCTCTTTCCTCTTTAAAATATCTTGGCCAAAGGTTACTCAAGATAAAAAAAAGAGTTTAAAAAACTTCCTGTTCATTCTGGATAAAGTTGAAGGTGAGTTAGGCAAAGAATACAAAGAAAAGATATATTTCGGTGTCACAAACACCACTTTGAATTCCTGTAAATTTTGTGGCAATAATTTTCCTGTTTTTGAGATATTGCTATATATTTTCACAAAAAATAGATTAAACAAAAAGGCACACTTTTCTTCAGACATTCTATAGCAGACTGGTCCCTCATCACACTTTTCTTGATGTCAAGCTTCATGTCTTGAAAAACAGGCAAGAGGCGTTTGAAGCAGTGTCGTTGACTAAAA